CTGGTCACATAGAGCTTGGTCTAACTGGCCCGGTTCTATACTGGTCACATAGAGCTAGGTCAAACTAGCCGGTTTCTATACTGGTCACATAGAGCTTGGTCAATCTGGCCCGGATCTATACTGGTCACATAGAGCTTGGTCAAACTGGCCCGGTTCTATACTGGTCACATAGAGCTAGGTCAAACTGGCCCGGTTCTATACTGGTCACATAGAGCTTGGTCAAACTGGCCCGGTTCTATATTGGTCACATAGAGCTTGGTCAAACTGGCCCGGTTCTATATTGTCACATAGAGCTTGGTCAAACTAGCCCGGATCTATACTGGTCACATAGAGCTTGGTCAAACTAGCCCGGTTCTATACTGGTCACATAGAGCTAGGTCAAACTAGCCCGGTTCTTATACTGGTCGAATAGAGCTTGGTCAAACTGCCCCGGTTCTATACTGGTCACATAGAGCTAGGTCAAACTAGCCCGGTTCTATACTCAGTCTGGTCGAATAGAGCTTGGTCAAACTGGCCCGGTTCTATGCTGGTCACATAGAGCTAGGTCAAACTAGCCCGGTTCTATACTGGTCGAATAGAGCTTGGTCAAACTGGCCAGGTTCCGTACTGGTCACATAGAGCTTGGTCAAACTGGCCCGATTCTATACTGGTCACATAGAGCTTGGTCAAACTGGCCGGTTTTATACTGGTCACATAGAAATTGGTCAAACTGGCCATGTTCTGTACTGGTCACATAGAGCTTGGTCAAACTGGCCCGGTTCTAAACTTGTCACATAGGACTTGGTCAAACTGACCCGGTTCCATACTTGTCACATAGAGCTTTGTCAAACTGGTCCGGTTCTATGCTGGTCACATAGAGCTTGGTCAAACTGGCCTGGTTCTATACTGGTCACATAGAGCTTGGTAAAACTGGCCCGGTTCAATACTGGTAATATAGAGCCTGGTCAAACTGGCCCGGTTCTATACTGGTAACATAGAACTTGGTCAAACTGGCCCAGTTCTATACTGGTAACATAGAGCTTTGTCAACATAGCACTTGGTCAAAATGGCCCGGTTCTATACTGGTCACATAGAACTTGGTCAAACCTGCCCTGTTCTATACTGGTCACATTGAGCTTGGTCAAACTGGCCCGGTTATATAATGGTAACATAGAGCTTGGTCAAACTGGCCCAGTTCTATACTGGTCACATAGAGCTTTGTCAAATTGGCCGGTTCTATACTGGTCCCTAGAGCTTGGTCAATCTGGCCCGGTTCTATACTGGTCACATAGAGCTTGGTCAAAACTGGCCGATTCTATAATGGTCACATAGAGCTTGGTCAAACTGGCCCGGTTCTATACTGGTCAGATCGAACTTGGTCAAACTGGCCGGTTCTATACTGGTCACATAGAGCTTGGTCAAACTGGCCCGGTTCTATACTGGTCAGGTAGAAGTTGGTCAAACTAGCCCGGTTCTATACTGGTCACATAGAACTTGGTCAAACTGGCCCGGTTTTATACTGGTCACATAGAGCTTTGTCTAACTGGCCCGGTTTTATACTGGTCACATAGAGCCTGGTAAAACTGGCCCTGTTCTAAAATGGTTACATAGATCTTGGTCAATCTGCCCCGGTTCTATATTGGTCACATAGAACTTTGTCAAACTGGCCCGGTTCTATATTGGTCACATAGAGCTTTGTCAAACTGCCCCGGATCTATATTGGTCACATAGAGCTTGGTCAATCTGCCCCGGTTCTATCTTGGTCACATAGAGCTTTGTCAAACTGCCCCGGTTCTATATTGGTCACATAGAGCTTTGTCAAACTGCCCCGGATCTTATATTGGTCACATAGAGCTTTGTCAAACTGGCCCGGTTCTATACTGGTCACATAGAGCTTTGTCAAACTGGCCCGGTTCTATATTGGTCACATAGAGCTTTGTCAAACTGCCCCGGTTCTATATTGGTCACATAGAGCTTTGTCAAACTGCCCCGGATCTATATTGGTCACATAGAGCTATGTCAAACTGCCCCGGATCTATATTGGTCACATAGAGCTTTCTCAAACTGCCCCGGTTCTATATTGGTCACATAGAGCTTTGTCAAACTGCCCCGGATCTATATTGGTCATATAGAGCTTTGTCAAACTAGCCCGGTTCTATATTGGTTGGTCAAACTGGCCCGGTTCTATATTGGTCACATAGAGCTTTGTCAAACTAGCCCGGTTCTATACTAGTCACATAGAGCTTGGTCAAACTGGCCCGGTTCTATACTGGTCACGTAGAGCTTTGGTCAAACTGGCCCGGTTCTATACTGGTCACATAGAGCTTTGTCAAACTGGCCCGGTTCTATACTGGTCACATAGAGCTTGGTCAAACTGGCCCGGTTCTATACTGGTCAGGTAGAAGTTGGTCAAACTAGCCCGGTTCTATACTGGTCACATAGAACTTGGTCAAACTGGCCCGGTTTTATACTGGTCACATAGAGCTTTGTCTAACTGGCCCGGTTTTATACTGGTCACATAGAGCTGGTAAAACTGGCCCTGTTTCTAAAAATGGTTACATAGATCTTGGTCAATCTGCCCCGGTTCTATATTGGTCACATAGAACTTTGTCAAACTGGCCCGGTTTTATATTGGTCACATAGAGCTTTGTCAACTGCCCCGGATCTATATTGGGTCACATAGAGCTTGTCAATCTGCCCCGGTTCTATCTTTGGTCACATAGAGCTTTGTCAAACTGCCCCGGTTCTATATTGGTCACATAGAGCTTTGTCAAACTGCCCCGGATCTATATTGGTCACATAGAGCTTTGTCAAACTGGCCCGGTTCTATACTGGTCACATAGAGCTTTTGTCCAAACTGGCCCGGTTTCTATATTGGTCACATAGAGCTTTGTCAAACTGCCCCGGTTCTATATTGGTCACATAGAGCTTTTTGTCAAACTGCCCCGGATTCTATATTGGTCACATAGAGCTATGTCAAACTGCCCCGGATCTATATTGGTCACATAGAGCTTTCTCAAACTGCCCGGTTCTATATTGGTCACATAGAGCTTTGTCAAACTGCCCCGGATCTATAATTGGGTCATATAGAGCTTTTGTCAAACTAGCCCGGTTCTATATTGGTTGGTCAAACTGGCCTGGTTTCTATATATTGGTCACATAGAGCTTTGTCAAACTAGCCCGGTTCTATAACTGGTCACATAGAGCTTGGTCAAACTGGCCCGGTTCTATACTGGTCACGTAGAGCTTGGTCAAAACTGGCCCGGTTCTATAACTGGTCACATAGAGCTTTGTCAAAACTGGCCCGGTTCTATACTGGTCACATAGAGCTTGGTCAAACTGGACCCGGTTCTATACTGGTCACATAGAGCTTGGTCAAACTGGCCCGGTTCTATACTGGTCACATAGAGCTTGGTCAAACTGGCCCGGTTTCTATACTGGTCAACATAGAGCTTGGTCAAACTGGCCCGGTTCTATACTGGTCACATAGAGCTTGGTCAAACTGGCGCCGGTTCTATACTGGTCACATAGAGCTTGGTCAAACTGGCCCGGTCTATACTGGTAACATAGAGCTTGGTCAAACAGGCCCGGTTCTATACTGTTACATAGAGCTTGGTCAAACTGGGCCCGGGTTCTTATACTGGTCACATAGAGCTTGGTCAAACTGGGCCCGGTTCTGTAAACTGGTCCACATAGAGCTTGGTCAAACGGCCGGTTCTCTATACTGGTCACAATAGAGCTTGGTCAAACTGGCCCGGTTCTATACTGGTCACATAGAGCTTGGTCAAACTGGCCCGGTTCTATACTGGTCACATAGAGCTTGGTCAAACTGGCCCGTTCTATACTGGTCACATAGAACTTGGTCAACTGGCCCGTTTATATACTGGTCACAGTAGAGCTTGGTCAAACTGGCCCGGTTCTATACTTGGTCACATAGAGCTTGGTCAAACTGGCCCGGTTCTTCTATACATGAGCTTGTCACATAGAGCTTGGTCAAACTGGCCCTGGTTCTATACTGGTCACATAGAGCTTGGTCAAAACTGGCCCGGTTCTATACTGGTCCACATAGAGCTTTGGTCAAACTGGCCCGGTTCTTACTGGTCACATAGAGCTTGGTCAATCTGGCCCGGATCTATACTGGTCACATAGAGCTTGGTCAAACTGGGCCCGGTTCTATACTGGTCACATAGAGCTTGGTCAAACAGGCCCGGTTCTATACTGGTCACATAGAAATTGGTCAAACTGGCCCGGTTCTATACTGGTCCACAGATAGAGCTTGGTCAAACTGGCCCGGTTCTATACTGGTCACATAGAGCTTGGTCAAACTGGCCCGGTTCTATACTGGTCACAATAGAGCTTGGTCAAACTGGCCCGGTTCTATACTGGTCACATAGAGCTTTTGTCAAACTGGCCCGGTTTCTATACTGGTCACATAGAGCTTGGTCAAACTGGCCGGTTTATATACTGGTCACATAGAGCTTGGTCCAAACTGGGGCCCGGTTCTATACTGGTCACGATAGAGCTTGGTCAAAACTGGCCCGGTTCTATACTGGTCAACATAGAGCTTGGTCAAACTGGCCCGGTTCTATACTGGTCACATAGAGCTTTGTCAAACTGGCCCGGTTCTATACTGGTCACATAGAGCTTGGTCAAAACGGGCCCGGTTCTATACTGGTAACAGAGGCTACTTACTTTCGTCTCTAGCAGTGTAACGGCTATACAAGGTAGCTTTTTTTTAAAAAAAACTAGTAACGGCTTGCGTTGGCATATCTTTTTCTAATTGGGTGTATTAAAATTTCGAATTGACAAGTCTCTCTCTCCTCCTACCGCCCGCCCGCACCCCCGCCTCTCTCTCTTTCTCGTGGGCTACAACACTCGTTAAAAACTGCTTTGAAACTTACTCGATCAAATAAAATTTTATTGTACACACAAAAACATATCCTCTATATTAATTAACTGATTGTGTCAACTTAGTATCAGATTACAATTACGTAATAAAGGTATAGATAATTTGTATGATAAATATTGTCACTAGTTGTTCAAGATAAACAAGTTGTACAATACTCACAAGAGTTCATATCGACCGCGACTCCGATACTAAACAACAAAGGTTAGAGATAGTGATCAGTTTATATTGGCTTTAATATAAAATACATTAAAGGGACTTGAAATAAAGGTAGGAGATTTCAACGATTTATATGTTTACATTTACGATTTCTGTGTATCTAACTCGGGCTTTCTGAAACACGGTGCATTAACCATCTATTACTGTAGTGTTATTATTATTATTATTATTATTACTAAGTTTGTTATACTTAATAATCATCACTTATTAATAAGTTTTGTCAAATTACAGGGTTACTTGAGGCGTGTCAATATCGTGCAATAATGTCGAGCGAGAACGAAAATGAGGCATTAATTGATGAGATTATAGAGTTGCTGAATAATCCAGACTTCGAGTCGCCGGAAGTGATATTGTTGTTAGGAAGCAGCGGTGCTGGTAAAAGCTCGTTAGTCAATACCATAAATGGGGTTCTCACTGGCAGGTACTATGCAATCGCCAAACAGGGAAGTGGTGAAACACAGTCCGTTACTCTTGATTTATTAAGGTAAATATCTTTCAGTCGTTGTTGATGAAATGACACTAATTTCCATGAAAAAATATAAGGGTAAATAAACTACTTAAAAATGGCAGAATACTTGTATGCAAAATTAAATATTATAACTGACACTTGTTTGCTATTCGGATCGGAAAGTACGTCTCTCTCGGGTACCTTGGTACTGCATAAAAATCAGCCCTTTGGACGGATAATCAAATGAGCCGCGTCACGACAAAACCAACATAATGTGTTTGTGACCAGCATGGATCCAGACCAGCCTGCGCATCCGCTCAGTCTGATCAGGATCCATGCTGTTCGCTTACCAACACTATTACAAGTACAGTAACAGATAGCGAGTAGCATGGATCCTGATCAGACTGCGCAGATGCACAGGCTGGTCTCGATCCATACTGGCCGCAAACGCAATTGGTTTTGTCGTGATGCGGCTCAAATTCGATTCGCAGCACAGGAAATATTCTTATTAATGTTTTATCTTTGAGGTAGATACGAAAATTGTGGCGTGAAACTACACAGAATAACTGATGAAAATAAAAGACAAAAGATGTCAGCCGTGTTGTCAAAGTTACCACACATTCTTGATTGTGCAGGCCTTGGTGACGAGAACACACCGGAAATGCGTGAAATCATCGAACTTCTTGTCGGGGGTAAGTTAGCTAAGAGGGTCTAGAAAAACATTATGTTATTGGATTCATATTTCTAAAACTATGCGTGTTTATGCTGATACTTATGTATGATGTGCATTGAATCTTATCTTAATATATTTACCAAAAGTTAAAAATAAAACAAGCAACTAGTATATGTTTAAACCACCCCCCTCCATACTAACATACAGATAAGACATACATATTGGCAATCAAACTATGCTGATAAGACAAAATTATGTATATGTTAGTGTTCTTGTGTGCTGTTTTACAGAAATTAGAAACTTCGACTTGAGCGAACTTTGACACATAAATTTGCACATGCGCTTTCGTGGGCTGCTTGTGAACTTTAATTAACAAAAAATGACGTCAAAACGTCAACCTACATTAATTTTGCATTTATTTATAAAGGATATACATGCAGTTCAGCTTTAAATCTACGTCTTGGCGAAAAAGATACTGCACGTGTAAAAGTAAAGTCAATTCATATTTTTGTTACGAATGTAGAAATGTTTAAATTAATTTGTGTGCCTATTCACTTTCTTTTTCCGTAGACAGAAAGTGAAAGTACATAATGGTTTTCGAAAATACGTTTCGTGACCTCGTGTTAACATGTTACATTTAGTGTATACATGTATAAATCATATCAGATATTATTGTTTGATTTCGTTAACCTGTCGATTGCATACTGATTATACGGTCAATGTACACAATACATTAATCTTCGATAAATGTTTGATAAATTTCGTGAGATGTGAGTTGTAAGATGTGATTAAATTTAAATTCTCATCGAAATAATTACACTGACTGCTATAGCCAAATAGCTGTTATACAGAAATTAGAAAACATTCTCATGTCGCTATAGTTCCCGTTGAAGTTTTAATTTCTGTAGAACAGCATAGATGAACACTGACATATAAATGGTGTTTTTATGTTATAAACATGTGCCTTACAAAATTTTCTTGTCATTATACGACAAAGTAATGCCGATGACAGTGATAACAGAGATCTGAAATTTACAGATACAAATTATAGATTCGGCAGGGATATATAGTTACAGTATAGCGACGAGACTGTTACGTGGAAATATCATGACTTGAGGCGACATCCGAAGGTTTTTCTCGAGGCCGTAATGTTCAGTCGAGTTTGATTCATCGCATAATAAATGCCAAAATAATCTTTCAGTGTATAGACGTGTCGACAAATGCTTATAATTTGAATTTCGGGCGCCCATTTTGAAAATAAATTTGCATAATATTTTCTCAAATAAACATATTGACTAAGATTTTACTTTAAAACTAAATACAAACTTTCTTGGTACTTTCATATTAATGAACATATCGCGTTTGCATTGCTTTTAGTAACTGGGTACAACGCGTTACGCAGATCGACATAAACCAGTCTTTACTAAAATTCAATAAAGCAAATATTAAAATCAAAGAGACATAATGCCCTGGAATTCATTGTAGTATTATACCTTATCGGTGATCCTATGTTGTATGTTTGTATTTTAGTGAAATCAAGAGATTTAGACCTTTTTGCACCCATTATAAACACGCATTTTACAGAAATGTGAAATTCGGTTTTCGCTTAATCTTGCACACTTCGCTATTTCTCAGTTAATACGAATCACCCTGACATAAAAATCGATACCCAACATTGCACATATCTGTACTATGTTTGGTTCAAATTTCAGAGACCTATCTTTATTAGTATCTGAGAAAATTTGATTTTATACGTGCACAGTTATAAGATTTGTTAAGTGACTAATAAACAAATATGATTATAATTTCAAAATGCTGATAATAAAAATATGTTTACAACTTCCCTATACTGACTATACAAATATGTGTAACAAATAGGTTTACTTACTATACAATTGTTAACAACCACCCCTATACAAATATGTCACACCCTCCTACCTCCATAGTGACCCTGTAAGTATGTTTTTAAAATTCACCTGAACTGAAAATACAAATACATGTACAAGTATACTCACGATCTCCCTATACTGTGAATGAAAATATGTTTACAATTCCACTTAAGATATTGTGCATATGTTTGTTTGTTTGTTGTTTTTTACGTAAAACTGATCTGGAAAACCAAAATCATTTTAAAAAAAGAGACAAGTGTTCCTTTTGCAAATGTTGTGTAAAAGAAATGCTCCACCACCTTAAATAAAAAGCAAAAATTAAAAAGTACAATAGTTTCAATAAGAGAGTTCAAAAGCAAAACATGACAACTTTTAACACATTTATAATATGTCAATTTTATTAGGTTACATTCGACCAGGAACATGCATGGATGCAGTAGTGCAAGAACAAACACGACGTGGCACAGGGAACCTGAAAGGAATATTTAAGCCACAACCGGCATGGAAGGTCTCAAAGATTGTATTCTTACAGGGATGCATAGATGTTATACCTGGCAATATGATCCAAGGCTTAAATGAGGTTCTTATGATGTACGATCCGGTCACGCTTGTTAGGAAGTGTAAATATGTCCTTGTTTATAATTTTCTTTCTTTCTGATATCATGTAAAAAAATCTGTGTTAGTTACATATTTCTGCGTTACTAGATATACATGATGTACACGGTGATACAGCCATTGAATACGATAAGTCATTGAATATGATTCAACACCCAGTAATTATGACTGACATTCTTTTATTGACTGCTGTTTAAACCAATAGTATTGCAGATGTTTAGATAATATATATTATCATATACCGTGCATTTTCTTGCATTTTCATCTATTTCCTTTGTAGACCCTTGTCAGGTTTTCGTATTGGTGACAAAGTACGATCTGGTCAAAGAGTCAGATGTTCATTCAGTCAGTACCAGCGAGGGGAAATTTATTAACAACGAAAAGTTTGAGCAAAAGAAACAGGAAATTGCTAAAGCATTTTGCAGTGTCGGTTCTACAAATTATAATATGCTCCATTGGATCAACCTTACAGACGACGTCGAATTTACTGAGTCAACAATTCCCACTAAAGCTCTGAATCTCTTGAAGAAGATGGTGGAACCTGGAGCTCCTAAAATGCCAGCACCGACATTCAGAGAAAAAACTGGAAGATTTTGTGTACCAGATGTATCATGAAATTCGCAGAGAGTCCTTACACCAGATACATCAGCATAATGTTAGTTTGGTACACATTGTAGGTTTTTTCATGGCGGTCATTTTGGGGATTATTTGGCTCTTAAGACGAGACCCGGAAAAATAAGTTTTAGATGTGAATAGTACATTACTAAGTACTGATAACTCTGATAATTATTATAAGGAGAAGCAATATTTGCATATATGGAGAAAACGTTTAAGTTTTGAATGAATGTGCAACTTATTTAGATATTATTATTATTATTCAATTAGATCTAACAGTTATAAAAATGTTTTTTTCTTTTGTGATCAATTCGTTTGTCTTTCCACACATACCTACATCCGGAATCTACCTATGAACTGGCACGCCTTTTACGGAAGGCAGTCGTGCTAAGACGCTACAGCGGGTGATACCACTCATTGACAGAAGTAACCTTTTCTCCATTGATATAGTAATATAGTTATGTCGCTGATAATGAATGTATTATTTCAAATATTTGTCCGTAGTTGTACCTAAAGGGATATCTATCAAAGGACATTTAACAGTTCTAAACATTTAGTATTTAACATATAGGAAGTGTTTTTAGATTGCAAAATGGCAAAACGTAATACTACTTCAGCACGGAATATTGCAAGGACATTCTCGTAAATAATGATATTGAAATAAATATTTTGATTAGATAGTTTCTCTTTGGATTTGTAGTATTTTACGTCGCACTGGTAATGTACATGTCAGATGGCGAATTTCCTGCTTTACCTCCCCTCAGCTCTGTGCATTATTTCACCACCGACGTTTTGTAATCTAGCCGGACTATCAAACATGAAAAATCTAAATGCACTGGCGGGATTTCAACCTGCAGAGTTAAGGCGCAAGTGGTTTAAAGTCAATGTTCTAACCACTCGGCACGGACGCCCATGTTAGTTATTCATATACAATTTGTAACTATCTATATTACATTAAGTCAAAATTATATTCTCAAATATTTTATTGACTTGCACACATTGTATAGATTGCCATATTGACTGTGAGGAACGTATTTAAACAAAGAAGAGAACAGTTATTTCAACATCGTTAACGGTTAACTGTGTGTGTGCATAAAAATGATTATTGCATTTTTGTTCTAAATGGCTTAGTTTCAAATTGCATTCCTTAAAAACAAAATAGTTAAAGGCTTCAACGAAATGATGGCTTCGTCGTTCAGCACGACATGTGCTTGTGTTATTTTAGTTCTTTCTATTCGGCATCTTTCTAGTTGGGTGGTTCCAGTATTCCTAACTTCTATGTTGTTGAATCACCCTAAGGATATGTGGCCTGCTTTTTAAATTTGTCTTGTGACGTCATATCTGTGATATGCAGGCTTTATAACCTCAGATCCCCTTTCACAATTCCATTTTATTTAGTTCCGCCCATTGTTTTCTCGTTAAGGGCACATGCATTTTTTACTTGGGAACCATATGCCGCTTTCATGGAATGACAGTAACGTCTCACATTGAAGGTTCCATGATACACATCTGCGGATATTTCAAAATTCTAAATTTACCAGTTCATGTTAAATGTTGAATTTCGCTTAAGCCGGTGCTAGGGGGCGTGTACGGTAGTTTGCACTTGACAGTACCGTCCATGAACAGGCTCAATTAAACCGAGTCTGCAACATTTTAAATTTTACCGTGTTGGGCTCTCTTTAGGGATTCTTATTTCTCTCTTTTTTTTGGGAGGTTCTAATATAATATGTCAATAAATAGCTTTTCAATTAATTTAGATTTCACTGTTTCTCAGAATGGTACGTTAGTCGTTTTTTTGTAATGTTTAACAATGAGAAGATAATATGAATCATGAAGAAAAAAATGTGTTGTTGCCAAAATAGATGATCATATCTTTCGGACGGGCTTGATTGCCTGATAAGGTTATGCAACCTGACACATGTATTCGGTGAGCATAGCTGACATGCAAGAGCATTCTTTCAAGTTTTTCGCAGACGAATTTTGAATGCAATGTTAGCAAAATAATTGTGGACTGGTTCCCTTTATCAATTTGTATATACGAGGGTTGTTCAAAAAGTAATAGGACTGCAGTTCTTCTGTTCACATTTTTTAATTTACGTGTGCAATTTTACAAGATAATATTATCGGAAAATATCCTCTATATACAGTGAAAAAATCAATAAAATATGTTTAAAAATAACGAGTCTATGAAAATTTCAAATAACAAGGGGTACGCGACCCGGCGCACGCTAACAGCACAATAGATGACGTTTATGACGTCGTAAAATAAAAAAAAAATGTATCAAGCGTCATCCCTTCTGAAAGAATTCTCCCTAGTGTTCTAGGTATCTAAATCATATAACCTTGACCAGACCTCATATGTGGAGATGAAGCGAGAAAGAAAACGATCACATTCTTGTTCCACTCTCCGAGAAAAGAAAGCCCGATAGCCGGCCACTCTCCGCTTTTTCTTTTCTTCTTGTATCTTATAGTAATCAATATAGATTAAACAGGCATGAACTTATAATGTTATGAAAAAGCGATTAATAGAATTATTTTACACATATCATCGTATGTTCTTAAAACAATATGACTATGTAAGTAAAATAACAATAGTTATCAACTAAAAAGTATATTTTCCTACTAGGAACAGCGTATCATTTTTAAAAGAAGATCGGGGAAAATATTAATAATTACCGTTTAACATTATAACATTAATTTATTGATAAAACATATATCTAGTTAAATGAAATAGAATTTTGTTTGAAACAAATCATTTAGGCAGAACTGAATCAATAGACCCGATGCAGAAATCAAACATGCCGGACAGTTCGTGGACTGTTTACCGTTTGTAGCGCTTTTTTTATTTGACGTCACTAACGTTCCGTCAATTTCCCGTTATCATTCTCATCCTTTCCTGTTTGTGATTTCGTATGTGCAGTTTTTGAGTTGTTTGCGCAAGCTGAGAACGAGTATCCTGGTAGTCGATTAATTGTACTGTGTTAATTTTATGTTTTCATATGTATCTGAAGGAGTATCGCCAATTTGTTGGCAAAGTTTAACGATCGCACACATTTTCAGTTTTTTAACGAACGTCAAATTTCTACATTTTACGTTATGACCACTGCTGTTCAAAACTTGATGATTTAGCCATTTCATGTCTGAATGACGTCAAATTTGGGCATAATGTAACTTAAATATATTAAATTGTGTTGGTGGAATAAATGGGGGGAAAAGAAAATAAATTATTAATAAAAAAGAAGTTCAACTAAGCTTTAATAACCTTTTTATGTGCTGCGCCGGGTGCGTGTTACCATGGTTATTTAATAACACAGGGAACACAAGTTAAGCATAAGAATTCAATATTTTTATGTTAAAATTGAAGAAAACATTTTTCGATCGCTGTACATATAAAAATATTCTAAATTGAATTGAATATGAAGATGCAAGACTGTTAGTCCTATTACTTTTTGAACAACCCTCGTAAATGTAAATACCCAAAACCGGTGAAATATGAATAATATTATAATACATAGTAAGAGTCAGCAAATGATATCAAACAGCTGATTTTATTTTGTTTTTCCATTAATTCGTGAAAACCACAAAAAGAACGGTTTGTGATGAGTTCGCGAGGTAGGCGATGTTTTTGTGAATACATTGAGAGAAATTTTGGCTATTTTATTTCAGTATACTCATATGGAAGTGTCATCAAATCACAGAGATGAGCTATGGTTGAAAAATTCATTCTCTTTCAATATTTTTCAGAAGTTTGCAACATTTGAGAAATTCAGCGCTACACGATTTAATAATATGCACACTGTCGTTAGACTTACCTGAACTATATATCACGTTATTGCATTGATATATGATGACAAGGTGCATGCATGATGAATTGAGCTCATCCTTAGTTTTAGCAGACACCTCATCAACATGATCAATACATATTGAAATAAAATGATGACAATGAAAAATGATTGACAACCTTATTAGATAAATAAAACACGCTAAAACGTGATTTAGCGCAAGCAGCACACTGGCAATAACAAAAGTTATCACATCTTCAGAGTAATCACAAGAACTCTAGGACATTTGAAAAATCGGGCTAAAATTTTATAGCCGAGGCTTTTTGTTTGCAAGTTTGCCATTATTACATGTATTATTAGATAATTATGTATGACAAGGATGAGGATCGCAAAAGAACAGGTCAATATGTGAGAATAAGCGAACAATTTTGAAATTTTACTTAAAACTACCAGATTTTGAACAAGAGGCGCTAAAAAAATGGACTATAAATTAGTTTTTGACACATAGTACAACATGTAAGGCAAGTTTAATCATTAAAGTTTAATTTAGGACTTACAACTCATCATTTAAAGATGATAATGACCATTTTTGACGAATGTTTCTGTAGTCTATACAAAAGTTTTACTGATGAACTCCGTGACAGTTATCACAAGAACTCATGGCAAGTTATCATAAGTTATCTCCATCCATCGTGCAACAGTTCCTCCCCCACGTTGATACCGGGTCGCAAAAACATATAGGAAGTGTATTTACTTTATTGTACTTAATGCAAAATGGCGGAACGTAATACTACGAAAAGTTAAAAGCTCGGAACATTTTCAAGGATTTCCTGTATATAAAGGTATTAAGATAAATATTTTGATAAGATAGTTACTCTTTTTGTTCAGCTTAACGTAGCAGCAACACTATACATGTCATATGGCAACTTTGCTGCTTCACTCTCGCCTCCTTTCCCCTCCCCTCCGTCCATTATTTCAGACACGAGCGACTACCGACGAACGACCACCGACGTTCTGTAAGCTAGCCGGACTTTCAAACATGAAAGAATCTAAAGGCATTGGCAGGATTTCAACCTGCAGAGTTAAGGCACAAGTGGTTTGATGTCAATGTTTTAACCACTCTGCACAGACACCCGTGTTAGTTATTCATAAACAATTTTGTAACCTTCTATATTACATTAAACTTTCATAATAATGCAAATGAACTTCTGGAATTTTTTAATGACTTACAAACTTGTAAACGATGCCGTTTCTACCATGAAAAACTTATTCACTCAACGAATTGAGCAAGGATTTCTACGACGTTACAGGTAAACTATGTATAGGGATAAAATTGCTTACATGTATTGAATTTTGTTCTAGATGACTTATTTTCTGTTTCAAATTGCATTACTTAAATAAGGTTTACATCGCTTCGGTGAAAACTGTCTTAAGTTGCTGTTAGCTTTTGTTTGACTTTTTATATATCAAAAAATTTGAAAGTGAAAATTTTGCCCTTCAGTTGTAAAAGTTAATCAAAAGAAACATTTAAGAATGACATAACGATCATCAGAAGTATATGAAATGAGATATTGGTAACAGTACACTTACGTATAGTGGGTGGAGAAGGAAAGGAAATAGAAATTACGGTTTCTCTTACGATAAATATAAAACTGTTATATCATAGTCATTTATGCAAAAGTAGAATATTTAAACAATGTTAGTTTTACTACTATTGGATCGTTGCATGCCTATCTACCTTAACCAAGTTTGTTATGAATATCACGGGCAAAATATCAACAGATATATCATGTTTATATTAAATTGTATACGGTTATCATCTTTTGCACCTTCTCAGGTATATTTTAAACCTGCATATGTTGATGATGTACTGGACCGTGAACTTAATACGACTTAGAACATAAAACTTAACATAAAACACAATTATGTAGACAGAATGTTATATGCCCGATAATTAAGTATTTAATACCAAATATGTTTGATAGCAGAAAACTACGGTGTTCCATTAGGACCAGCGCGTTTTCTCATAGAACGAAAAGCGCGAAAAATGACAGTACTATGGTGACAATACGACAGTACGATGACGAAGCATGACAGAACTATGATGACAGTCAATCGTACTGCCGTACTGTTACAATCGTACTGTCACCATCGCAATGTAGTACTGTAATTTTCATGCATAGAACCCGAAGTCAATCTCGTTCTTACGTATCACGAGATACTATGTCGTGGCCACGAGATAATTTAGTGGTGCGCACAAGACACTTTGTCGTTTGCACGAGTACAGAAGTCATGGCCACGAGTGGGTAAGCCATGCGCACGAGATAATTAAGTGGTAAACACGAGATATTATGTCGTGCGCACGATATACTATGTCGTGGCCACGAGTTACAAAGTTGTGCGAACAAGATGATAAAGTGGTGCACACGAGTTACTATATGTTATTACGTTCTGGCCACAAGTTACTAAGTGGTGCGCACGAGACAATAAAGTGGTGTGTATGAGATACTATGTCATGCGCTCGAGTTACTAAGTCGTGAAACGAGCTCGGGTTAGTAAGTCGGGTGCACGAGATAATTTAGTGGTGCGCACGAAATATTATGTCGTCGCCTTTTCTAATAAACGGACAGTTGTCAATGTAAACAATTATCTGTCAGTTTACAGTTTATAGAAAACATGACAACACAAAATAAATATAAAAACTGTTGTTTTATTGGTGTTTTTATCGATAAAAACATTATCCTACTCTTAAGATTTTTTGTGAGATCTTGTGCCAGTTTTTTAATGATGTTTTATGCCTCCAAGTACGATTTCTTAGACTTATATCTAGTTCTAAATGCTACCGATTCGATCTTTTTTCTTCTGTCAATTTGAAATCATTTTTTGAATTTCTGAGGGTCATGTTGTGTCTTGAGTTTATATATATTCAATGTTATTCTTTGCTGATTGTGATTAATTATGTCATTTAAACTTTAAAATATTTTGTGTGCAAGGGACTATAGTTCATTCAACGTCTTCAGCCATCTTGAAAGTCACTGAGAGTTTATTACGTCAATCTGCACGTGCGCTAATTCACTCGCCCATTATGGAAAAATAATGCAGAGTAGCAAGGCGGCCAAAATTGCATAATGACCTAGATCTTGCCATATTGGCTCTGAAATACCCTAGATTTTGTTACATAGGTATTAAAGTTTTATATACACGGCTGCTGTCAAGTTATGAAGAAATATCACTTTTACTCTGAAATAAAGATGCTTGCTGTATTATAAATTCGTTATATGAGCCGCGTCACGAGAAAACGCGGCTTTTTAAACACAAGGAGAAAAACACACACCAAAAAAAATATATTTTTAATACACAAAGCACAATGAATTACTAAATAAGCACTGCAAAACATAAAAGTAACAGTTTTAAAACGCTAAAATTGTTTAAGCAGAGGATTTATTACGAATGTAAATAAAACACAAGCACGAGAAAGTTTTTAGGTTTTTATTTAACGACGAAACGATTAGTTAATTATAGATATTTTAATTTTAATGCACTGAATGTTGGGAATAAGGAATGTTCCCAATTAAATGTGTGTTCACACTATTTTATATATTTATATAAAAGAAATTGCCATATGGACTTATTAATACACTAATTTGTATGGCCCTTGTGTATAAAACAAGCAGCTTTTAAATTATGAATATATTGTTTTGAAATTTAAATTTATACATCTGGCCGGGAACCAATATTTCCGTAATTTCTGAAGGTGTAACCGTTGAAATATTCTCTTCAAATGAATCCACGAAATCCAGGGTAGCACTCCACGGTTAATTTCAAGTTCCTGCCGTCAATGTCCAACGAGCAGTACGTCTAATAATTCAGATATTCTAATATTAAACTACAGAACATGGAAAAAGAAAACACATTTTGTCGAGAACATATATGACATAAGATTGCAAATCTACAAAGAAATCATCCCATCTGCAATGGACCTTTCCAGTGTTTACTTTCTAACTTGTAATCCAATTGCTACACTCAGATAATACATAGTCACTGGTTGACCTGGTTTGCACAAAAAACACATGGTTATGTTTGTGATACTGTTTGTTAGCAGTTGACCTCGAAATGAATGGAAAAGCTGTGGCTAAATGTTCCGCTATAAAAAAACTAGAAAGGTCCATAGGCAGGCAGTCAAAAAAGTTTATTTATTCCGTTGAAGCCCAAAATCTACAGTGGCTCGAGACCCAAAACAACACATTACCCCCTCTGGCAAAAAATACCTGCAGATATATACAGGCTAAAGGAACACCGTGTCTGTTTTAGCAACTTCCTATACATGCAAACTATCAAAAAGAAACTGGTGGTTAACCTTTTAGAATTTTTGCTACTGCTAAAAGTTTGTAGCTCCCCCCCCCCCGCTGTAAAATGACTTACTGTGCATGCTGTTTAAAAGCAATGTTTACAAAAAATGGCGGCCTTGACATCTATAATCAACAGCATATGATTTCTGGCCATGTTTTTGAATTTGCCAGTGATCGTATTTGATGTCACAAAAACAAATCAATCATTTAAACCTTTTCCCTTATATAGAGGTGTTTTGACAGCTTTTTGCCCCCCCCCCCCCCCCCCCCCCCCCCCCGTTTTTTGAGGCCTCAAACAGTGAAAAAATGCCCAATTTAGACCCCAACACTGTGTTTTTATTTGGGAAATGTTGTTAAAAAAAGTGACCACTTTTCGGCGCGACACTCCATCAAAATAGTACATCAGGGGGTTGCCAGAAGGGGGATGTGCTCCCTTCTGTTTGAGGGTTTGAAAATGGCCTCATGATGATCTCAGGGTAACTAGTAACAGACGCTGAAAAGCCTTTTACTCTATCAGCACTTTGAAATCAGTTTTGATGGAAAAAAAACAATGCAAAATAGTGATTTTTCGAAATTTTCGTTGCCATGGTAACAAAAAATTACGATTGAGCATGCTGTTACAGAGGCTATGGTCCAGTCAACATCTGTGCCAAGTTTCATCAGCATTGAAGCATTGTCATAGTTTCATAGCAGTTTGAACTTGCAACAGGAGGCTTTTCAATGAAAACGGCCATTTTTCACAATATGCTCATGGGGTAAAAGGTTAAATCCAGAATGTTCAATATATCGCTTGCCATTCGAAGCTGTGGCTTACATTGCTGTGGTGTGCTACCTATAAAATAGGATTAAATCGCCGCGTAGCATTGTATCCTCACACCTTGTGCTCAAGGAAAATACCGAAGCGATACATGAGCTATCTCCGAAGGGGCAGGACGTGAAGTGGTTGCACACTTTGTTCAAGCGAGCGAATTGGTTGCAAACTTGACAAAATGGCGAAAACGACGTGATTTTTTGAAACGGGTGAACGAATTTTTGCCAGGCAAGTGGGTTTCTTTGTTATTTTGAAGTCCATTAGTATGTCTGTTCCATAATGCAATATATATGCCACACTCGGTCAAAGGTTTCAACATCCTAGATTCTGTTTTGACGAAGTTATTGAAGATATAAACTGATCATGTAGATATTTTGAAATTTGACATGTGACTGTTCTGGCCGGTTTTTCTCCTAATTTATTCATATTTGGAAGTTTTGAACTGCATTTAACAATAACAAAATATGTTTCTGTCAATGCTGTACAAACGGTTTAGTTCGCAAATCCGAAAATAACGTTCAATTCACAAAAATATCTTGTTCAAGCACATTTTGGTTGCAGACTTATACTTCAAGCATTTTTGGTTGCAAACTTTTGTGTCAATAATGTGGCATGCATATTTTTAGCGAGGAATAACTTATCTTTTTTTTTTAAATAATTAGCAATATTAAGGCAATTATAC